TCTTCAAAAAAATTCTACCTAAAATTCCACCAATTTCAGTAAACATCTATCAATCCAATAATTTAGTGATAAAAGTTTATTTGATTTTATTTTGTAAGAAAAAATATTATTTTTTTCAATTATCTGGTGTAATTCTTATTTTTTTCGCACTTTGTGCAACTTAAAATTAGGTTGAAGGTTGAAGAAAATAACATTTTTTTTTTGAACCCCGGAAAAAAATAATCAATAAAAAATGAATTATCTTTTATTATTCAGTTAAGGGTGCATTGTGAATGATTTATTGTGTTTTGAGGGTGCAAAGTGTTGTTATTGTTTTTCAAGGGTGTAAAGTGCCAAAAGGCTCCATTTCAGGGTTGCAAAGTGGGATTAAAAGCCTTATTAATTAGAAAATTGTGTATGGGATCTTACATAATCTAATGCTACAATTAAATTATGGAAAAGTTATAATCTTATATCTTGATTAATCCTGAGGCTGGTTTTCTTTTCTTTTTTTGTTTACGAAATTGCCCTCCCAATCTGTCACCTTACCGAACCATGCGTGATTCTCTACCAAAATATATATACCGAATGATTACCGTACCATACCGCAACGTACCGAAATATTTTGGTAGAGAATTTGTTGCCTTTTTCTTTCTTTTTTTTTTTTTTTGACAAACTTCATTTTGCATCTTTGAACTTGAACCGACAAATATCTCTCGATTGTAGATTAAACGGATTCGGTTTATTTGCCAAATCATTGTTGATATATTTGGGAACAATTGCAGGAGCAGCTTGAGTGGGAGATGAAGAATCGGGTTGTGTTTTTTCCAAGGAAATCCCATCCTTGCAGCTGATCAACCAGACTCTCGGTTTACGCTTGAGAGTTGGAGCGTATTTATATTGTGTGATTTCCGATTTTTTTTTAATCTTTTCGATTCTTGTTTCTTTAACCAGAAAAATATATAACTGATGAAAATAACTGAAATGAAATATAATATATGATGTGTTATATTGCTATTGTTTACCACTAAATAAGACTGTGTTCATTTATATATTCGAAATTCAATACTATTATTAATATTCAATTCTTGATGTATTCAATCTGTTTGTTTTATACAATATCTTCAATAATTAATTGATAACACTAAACTTAATTTTTTAGTTTGTAAATAAAATAAATAATACCAAACTATTGGATCCCAATCCTGTTCTTCTTCCACTTGTATGCAGCTTCCAATAATTGAAAGTTTCTCCTCTGCATCATCTCTTCTTCTTCTTGTGGACAATCATCTTCTTCAGTCTGATACATTTGCCTACTTCTCTTTTTGAGTAATTTCTTCTTGGGCATCATCTCTAAAATAGCTTCGGCTCGTTCCGTTTCTCCCAAGGAATCCTCAAACTCGGCGAATTTCGTCCATGCACGGCAGTTCTCCGGTGCCCACTCCAAGTACTTTTCGTATATCTTCCTGCATCTTTCTACATTACCAAGCTGCATCTCCATCTCAACGTACTTGGTAAAGATCCTATCTTTCGGAGCCATTCCAATTGCCGAGCCCAAGATTTTCCGTGCCCTATCGATATTCACCTGACGAACTTCGAATTGTGCAGCCATCAACCAAATCTTGGCAAAGGAGAACTTTTTATGAGGAATAGTCTTCAGGCACAAGGTGTACACATCCCTCGTGCGATCCGTATCTTGCGCATCGAGCTCCTCGTATAAAGCATAATTAATCCACAAGTATATGTACCTCTTCCAATAGCGCTTCTCGTGTGAAGGAGGTACATTTGCAATAGCCCTTTCGTATAAATCCTCCATCGTTTGTTTATCCCCACCGATCTCTTCCACTAATCGAATGTAATCGAACCAAAGATCATAGTTAAGTGGATTCTTTCTCAACCCATCTTCGTACTCGAGCCTCCGCTTTTCATAAATAGCATCCCCGAACCCCTTGTCGAAAGCAATAAACTTGTGATCCAACGCAAATAAATCCTTCGCCACCTCAACATCACCTTCGAATTTATCGACAGCCCTCTCGTAGCAATTCCTTGCACGCGCTATATCTCCGTATTTCATCTCGAATTTAACAAATCTGATCCATGCACCGACATTCGGGTGACAATCGACAAAGCGCTCGAATATTGATCTCGCCCTTTCGATCTCATTAAACCTCAACTCAAATTTGATATACGAAAGCCACGCTTCCTGATCGGGAGACCAATTCATCCACCGATCGTAAATCTGTCTAGCGCCAGCATAATTCCCTAGCATGAACTCCATGTGGATGTATTTATACCACAGTTGGTCAACCCTAGGCAACAATTCCGTTGCGCGATCCCACACATTACGTGCGTGATCGATGAACTTGTTCTTCATCTCGAAAGACGCGTACTTCAGCCATAACGTGTGGTCTCTATAGTCCACCTCCAACGCTCGCTCCCACACAGATCTCGCACGATCGAAATCCTTTTGCGATTCTTCCCAATTGGCGTACTTGATCCACACGCTTTTGTTCCAACGCACCCTTCGGATTAAATCTTCAAACTCTTTTCTTTTTTCGAGACGATAATCTCCAAGCTCAGCCGACTCGGTGATTCTCTGCTTCGGTGGCCGGATTTTGGCTTCTTGAAGTTCGCGTGCCTCGCGGAGTATTTGCTCGGCAGTGATCTGAATCGAAGCTGCGTTCTTGTTCTTCACGCGCCTTGCCATGGTGGTTTAAAGCACAAAGGAAGGAAACAGAGAGAAGAAATTAAATTAATTATTTGTCGATCTGCTTATGATAAGTGAAGGAACGTATGTATGTATATATAGGTATATATGTATATACCTTATATATATACATATACTTCGGATTCTTGCCAAACAAGGATTCCGATATTAATTGGATTCTATTTTCCTACAAATAAATCACACGGCCGTTTGAATTGAGGAAGGAAAGAACTCTTCTTTGGTCGAATTACATTTTTGGTCCCTCAACGTTACGCTAATTAAGCTTTTCGTCCCTCATGTTCCGAGATGAACAAATTTCACCCCTAACTTTACAAATTTGTAACATTTTTGGTCCCACCCGTCACTTGACCGTTTATGAGTAACAAAAAATACTTTTTTTGGGGCTAAACGTAGAATTTAAAGTTGATTTGGGTTAGAAATAGAGCTAAGGTCTACTTTATTTATAATTAGATTAATTTTTATAATTAACTTTAAAATAATATTTTATATTTATTAAATGTTATTTTTAACCTTAATATAAAATTTAATGCCCCTAAAATCTAAATTCTTAAATTTAATAAATTTAAAATTAGTTTCTATTTACGTTACTATTTCTAATTCAACTGATTTATTTGTCTAATTATGTAAATATAAATCCAAATAATATATGTATAATAAAATGTATTAATTAATATTCCTTTCAACATATAAGTTAATGAGGGTAGAGAGAGTCATATTACCTACAATCTGCACTTCTAGACCAAAAAAAATTGGTCGAAGTTAGGAAGAATGAGCACTATTCGATACAAAAGATCACGAAACTATTTAACGGTAAGTTATAACAAACTTTCAACTGCATGCATATTAGTAACGGTGGTTTCTCTTTCGCTAGAAGTTAGAGCTAAAAGCTACAAAAGTCGATTAGCATGAAGATTCAATTACCCACTATTGAATGTGATCTTCTTCTTGCCCACTGTATCGTTCATCGTCGCCCGATTCTTGATTATCACTAAGTCTCTCCTGCAAGAACAAAATTCCAGTTACGCCCTCGTCTGAAAATGTCCGAAAACATGAGACATTCTGTAAGATTGTCAAGTAACGGAAATCACCTTAAGAGATGCGTTTTGAGCAAGAAGACGCTCATATTCGCTCCTTATACGAGCCAACTCTGCCCTGAGAGATGCGTTTTCTTCTTGTAAAATTTCAGCACGCTGGGCCAGTTCATCGCATTCTGCCTGAAATCCCATGGAAAAAAATTCAAAAAATTATTTTGTTTTTTATAAGATACAAACAACAAAAAGAGGCAAGGCGTAGCAGTTAAGTACCTGCTTGCGCAATCTGGATCTACGAGCAGATTCCCTGTTCGACTGCTTTCTTCTCTGTCTTTTAAGTTCCCTTTCGTCCTGAATTTTACAGGAAAACATATAGCCCGTCAGTTCACTGAACAGTATTAGTACATTAGATGGATAATTTCCCAATTCTGTTTCAGCCAAAGAAAAATTATATGAAGAAAGTAAATTTTTAAGTTGATAAAAAGGTGAGAATCGGAACCTGTATCCAAAGCTGTGATTCATTAGGAAGCATCCCTCCTTGAACTGGAGCAGAAGGCACCTTCCCATGCATTGCAGGAACAGCAGAAGCGGGAGCGGCAGCCCAGTAATCCATGCCGATGTTTAAGTTAGTGGTGGGACCCGCAACTCCACTGACAACACCCATAGGCACCATACCCATATTCTGATTTACAATTGCATGTGGTGTACTTGATCCTCCATTCTGAGAACTGTGAGCAGCACTACCATTCTGAGATGGTTCAGCTGTAGCAAGATATCACAACAAGTTTCAAAAATGAAAATAATAAATAAATAAATAAATTCAGATATTACTAGACTTAAGAGTTCTTGGTACCGAACCTGAATCTTGTCGGCCGTTGGATTTCCTTGGAGATTCCTGTAAACAGTAACAGAAGAAATCTCAGAAGAAGCAGAAAAAAGGCAGAAAGGAAGCCCAACCATTGAATTCTCTTCTTTTCTTTACAAAACTCGATAGAGTTTATCCGAAAGACAAGTTTGAATGAGAATTCTACACATTATGCTTTTGTTTTTTTTGCACCGTAGGTTCAACATGTTCTATATTTCTAGAATTGAAAAGCAATAGCAGAGTTGATAATAATTAGTTAGGCCTACTCTGCTGCGAAGCAAGATATGAATGTAAAGCATATATCAAAGATACTGCAACAGTGAAGCATATATCGTTATACATTTACCTGATTATTTTTTTTAGAGTATTATTGCCTGATTTAACTAAAAAATAAATAAACTGAAAATGAGATATCAACTGTGCAAAATGAGAAATCAACCGAAAATTTGTTTATCTAAATGGATTCAAACACCACGGTACAATAAGAAAACTGATATTTCCTGACAACTACAGGATGGACGGATTATTCTCTTCTCAATTACATAGTGATAAATCTTTACAAGTGCTATGTTTACTCAAGATACCAGTTGAATTTAAATGAACAAAAATGTATATTAATGATACATCTAAATTTTAACATTTGTACCACATATTTATGTGGATTTTCCTATTGTTTATAGAACATATTTACATATCAATGTTTTGGCCAAAATTATCATCTTGTTCATTATTCAGAACAAAAAATGTATTTATGATCAAATCCATTGGGAGCTTGGATACCTGATCAGTAAGAATTAAGAAGCCAGCAGTGCATAACAGCGAAGACAGTGCCTAAGTGGTATTGGGGTGGGGAGGGTAGTATTAGGTCAAGGGTTCAATTCTCTTTGTTTCGGCTATAGGCCACAAGGGTTCGATTCTTTTTTGTTTCGGTCATAGGCCATTTATAAGGCCTTTTATTTTAGTGTAAGCAGTGGATAATACGAAGCTTACACTTTGAGAGTTCGTATCACTTCCATCGCTTGAACCTTCACTGTCATTCCCAGCACTGTAAACAAAATCAACAAGACTTCCTTAGTATAGAGATTGTGTTAGCAAATCAAACAAGATTACACATCTTAAATAGTTAATTTCCAGAAATGATTAACCCCGATATACATATCATAGTTGTATTCACAATTTGGGCTGGTAATCAAAGAAACGATGAATTAGATAAGAAAATAAAAAGCAATACCAACAGATTTAGTTCCTGGGGCAAGAAATTAACAAATAAGAACAAGGAACGGAAGACGAATAACCAAATTTATTATCTGCCTAGTTAAAAAATTGTTAAGAGCTCTACAAGGCAAGAAAGAACTATGAATAGCATGCATCAATCATATACTGCTGCTAATTTCATTTATTATTGCACCTTAAAATACTGCTGATAAAAGAAAACATAATTTATTCATTTATCTATTCATTATATCTACCAGACCTTTTGGAACAAGCACCATTTTCAGATGCACACACAGATCTTGCAGGTTCAGCATTCTTCCCAGGGGTCACATTTAAACTTGCCGAACTACCCCTAGATCTTTTGACGGGCAGTTTTTCTTTCCCTTCATTTGACTTGCCATTCACCTCCATGTTGCCAGGAGTGTTACCCTATACATACAGTTAAACTCTTTTCCAATTAGTTCATGGAAAAAGTAATTAGTAAGTACAATACCACAAAAAATGTAAGGAATCAAGAAAGGAGATAACAAGTGCTAGAATGACTCACAGAGGCTTCAGCAATACCATTTGGAGAAGGCATAGCAGGAAAAGGACTGAAAGGATAGGATCCCTGAACAATTTAAAGCCAGATAGATGTAAAATATTAGGGGTATTCATGGAAAGGAAAAAGACTAAAATTAAATACAAAATTATTATAAGTACCGGAGCCATAGTTGGATGTGCATACATTCCTCCGTGGGGGTACATTGCTACATAAGGATGTGGTGAAGTACCGTAGGGTGGAATAAATTGCTGCAATATGCAGAGGATAAGAATGCCAACAAAAACTTAGAATTCCACAACATAATGTTGGTTCAACAAAATCAATAACTAGAGATTTAACTGAATTCCACCTTGCTTAAGGTCAAGTATTCGGAGTAAATTTGCAGGATGAGTTCGACTACACGTATTTTGCATCTAAAACACCCGAATTATAAGCATATTATCAAAACACTACCCCGTAATATTTGGATGTTTTAAGGCCTCAAACGTGGATCTTTGATTAACGCTTCCCATTTTCTTTCTGTTCAGTACATCATGCCAATATCTAATCATATCTAGATAATGATGTATTACGAAGTACAAAAATTGCAAAAGATTTATACCTGAACTCCCCACATGTAGGGGTGCGTTTGTGGACTCGATGTCATGAATCCATGAGGAGGCATGTGAGGGTACGCCTGCACAAACCCCATCATACAAACTCTAATAAATTAACAGTGTTAATGTGAATGACGAAAAATCCAACTAAACATGTCAGAAATATCAGACCTGAAACCCGGACCAATCTGCAGCAACTGCACCAGAAGTATGCTCCTGTAAAATTCCAAACCGTTGATATATTTTCAATTTCTACATAGCCGACAAGAACATATGAAATCAGAAGTTCACACGCAGTTAACCTGTGAACTAGGAGTTTTTGGCTCCTTTGCTTCTTTCCCCTCCTTGGGGGATTTCTCCACGTCACTATTCCCCATAATTTACTCTATAGCAAAATGTGAATCCTCCAATGTCAATTTAATCATCCTATAAATAGATATGTAATAATATAACTGTAAGCATACATAGGCAAATCCCTGTTCATAAAGTTTGCCTACAATTTGTGGAGATAAAAAGACAGAATAAATGCATAAAATCATACTCTATCTGGAGAGATATGAATTATGGAAATAAATAACAATGCAAATGTAAAGCTCTTAACTTGGAAATAAATAAAAAAATTAAAAATATGTAGGGGTTTTAACCGAATGTGTGAGTGTACACAAACACAAATAGAAATAAACAAACTACAAAAATGCAACACGACAATTCAAATAAATTAATAAGCAAAAATTACCGATGCAAGAACGATGACGCAACAGAAGAATCCCTAGCTCAGCAAATCTTAATTGCTGAGTCAACTCAGCTCAAACCCAACCAACTCGTTCTTCAAAGACGAACGAGGTTTCAAATAACTTTGGAATCAAACAATTTGCCTCCGAAATTGAAATGTGCGAGAAAAGGAAGGCTCAATTTCAACGGATTTCTGGAAGCTGTTGTTCAAAATTGGGGGAGGAATTAGGAGAGAGAAAATTAGGGCTTTGTTTGTGAAATCGTCGACATGGCTGCGCCGTTGTCCAGAGAGAGAGAAGGGGGAGAGAGGATGTGGTGTCCACCGTGGAGTTTTACTGATGATGATTGGATCGTGTGAGTCGTGGACTGTTTAACGGCTGAGATTGAATCTCGTACCATATTATAGTATTTTCTGGGCCTAATTTGTAATTAGTGTAAAACTAGGGCTTGTTTATTTCTTTTTTACCCTACCAAACAATTGTACCCTATATTATTACCATATTTTCTCAAAAAAAAAAAATATATATTATTACCATATAAGATACTAAACTTAGGCTAAATAACGAAAAATACCCCCACTTGTCCGTAATAACTAAAATTCCCCTCTAATCAACTGTTTGATTGAGTTTTTTAACAGAAAATATGTACAGTCTATTATTTAAACCTTCTGTTAAATAGGTAAAAATAAAAGAAAGTATTTGAAATTGTCTAAAGTTTATTCCCTGGAATGAAAAAAAAAATCCGTGAAAAGTCACACTGTAAAGGGTTGGTGTAAGACGGAAACAAATTTCAAGGGAATTTTGGTAATTACGAATAGGTGGGAGAGTTTTTCGTTATTTAGCCTAAGTTCGGGGGGTTCGTAATTTATCCTACCATACATTGTTCTATTGTACCAAAAAAATATTTAAGAATAAAATAAATACAATCATACTTTTTTTTTTTTAATTAGTTTAGCATGTAAAGAGAGAGTATACAACATTTTTAAGAATGCAACATAATAATAATTATTAATTAAAATTAGTTATAACTTTTGGGTATATAAAAACTATTTTGTACGATTTATTAATTGTGAGTTAATTTCATGTTAAGAGTTTTTATATTGTAGTTTTATTTTAGAAATAACTAGAGTTTTGGTTCATGCGATGCACAGGATTGAAGTAAAATTAATACAAAGTAAAATTCAATTGAAACGACAAAATTGAAGTTTCAATTCATTTTGATATTTCGATATATATATATATATATATATATATATATATATATATATATATATATATATTGATGATAATCCCCCATCCATAAATTTGTTTGCCATATTTATTAATTAATTTAACTTTATATTTTTGATGTTATGTGGTGGTATATTTATCTTATCTCAGTTAATGTTGAATTTTGACGAATCTTCTTCTTTATCACCCATAACAGGCCTCAGTAAATTTACTGTAAATCAATGATGCCATTAAATCTCAAGAGTTTATCAGGAGCAACTTTACTTTTATTAATAAGATAATAACCAAATATTTTTCTAAACAATAAATAATTTTTCCATCAAATTAATATTAAATAAAAATGACAATTTTGGTGGGAAAAGATACGTAAATTTGGGGCGAAAAAGTCTGGATACTTAACGGACCTATTAAACTTGATTATATTAAATATAGTAAAACAATAAAATTAATTAATTAAATAAATGGCAATTATAATTTATAACTATCAAATGAGCGAAAAAAAATTCATAGGATTTAACAGGATCAACCTTACTTTTATTAATAAGATATTAAAAGAAAATAAATAATAAAAATAATAAAATAAATAAATAAATGAAAATTATAACTATCAAATGAGCGGGAAAAAACTCTTAGGATTTAGCAGGAGCAACCTTACTTTTATTAATAAGACTATATTTTTGGTCCGTGCGATATACGGGATTGAAGTAAAATTAATACAAAGTAAAGTTCAATTTAAATGATAAAATTGAAGTTTCAATTCATTTTGATATTTTGCTATATATATATATATATATATATATATATATATATATATATATATATATATATATATATATATTGATGATAATCCCCATCCATAAATTCTTTTTGCCATATTTATTAATTTAACTTTATATTTTTGATGTAATATGGTTATATATTTATCTTATCTCAATTAATCTTGAAGTTTGACGAATCATTTTTTTTTTATCACCCATAACATGTCTCAGTAAATTAATAAGATAAAGAACCAAATATTTTTTTAAACAATTAAATAATTTTTCCATCAAATTAATATTAAGTAAAAATGACAATTTTAATGGGAAAAGATACGTAAATTTGGGGCGAAAAAGTCTGAATACTTAACGGATTTGTTAAACTTGATTATATTAAATATAATAAAATAATAAAATTAATTAATTAAATAAATGACAATTATAATTTATAACTATCAAATGAGTGGAAAAAAATTATAGGGTTTAGCAGGAGCAATCTTACTTTTATTAATAAGATATTAAATGAAAGTAAATATTAAAAAAAAATTAATAAATAAAGGAAAATTATAATTATCAAATGAGCGGGAAGAATTTCCTATGATTTAGCAGGAACAACCTTACTTTTATTAATAAGATTCATGTCAGCTAAGTTAATAATGATCTATATTAATAAATCATACTTTTCACACTAGTTTTGATATTTATATTTGGGGATCTATTTGAAAATTCATAACGAATATGCTATGTAATCTTTAAGATTTCGTAGCTCACAACTCCGTAAAGTGCAACTGTAAGACGAAGAAATAGGTCATGGGATATTTGTAATTAGCAATATCACATGGTCTGTAAGTTATTTAGTATTACCTCGGGGGTGCTCGTCTATGTAACATAGACACGAAAATGGCGATACGGCAAGACGGGGAAACGGACACGGGAAATGGCATGTCCCATAAATGCGGACACGGGGATTGGGGAAAATACGTCAATATTAAAAGTATAGGGGCATATTTATAAATATGTTATATAAACATATATAAATTTTTATGTATATATTTTCATACAAACATAATTAAAATAAATTTTACTATCAACTATCAATTCGTAATTGACATTAAATCATGTAAATAATTAGGGAAACAATAAAAATATCTGAAAAATTGCTATTCAAACATGTTTCTAACTTTTTAGAAATTGTAAAATGGCCCATATGGTGTTCGGCAGGTGTCTTTGAGTTTCGGACACGAAACGTGTCTGAATACGAAAAACGTTAAGAAGTTGAAGTTTTCGCGTTACATAGGTGCCCGTAGTTTACCCAAAAAACAATTCCAGAGACTATAATCCAAACCGAAAAATATACATAGGCCGAATGTGAAATAAATTTCATGGATGTTGCTCAAATTGATATTATGGCATTCATTTGGGGCCAATTTCCAATAACAGTAAAAAGACGACAAACACTATAGAGCGATCGAACTCTCACTTGAAAAAACCCTTCCACCATTTTCATCGCCACAGATATAGCTCAGCAAAAAATGTCGGATGCAGATGACAACGCAAAAACGTCTGACGAAGATGAAAACGCGGGCGGCGCCGTAACCCTAGCCCGGCCCGAAGAAGAAGCCCTCCGCCTCAAAACCTTGGCAGAGGAGAATCACGCTTCCGGCAACCTCAAATCCGCCTTGAAATACGCCAAGCGCGCGCTCAAGCTCCACCCATCCCTCGACGGCCTGCCGGAAATTCTCGCCGCCTTAAAAATCCTCCGCAGCGCCGCCGCCGAAGGCAGTTCATCCACCCAGAATGCCACCCCTGATTACTACAAAATTCTGCAGGTGGAGAGATTCTCACACATCAACACAATCAAAAAGCAGTACAAGAAGCTGGCTTTGACCCTGCACCCGGACAAGAACCCGTCGGCGGCAGCGGAAGAGGCGTTCAAGTTGGTCGGTGAGGCCATGGGAGTTCTGTCGGATAAGATCAGGCGGAAAGAGTATGATATGAAGATTAGGGTTTCTATGCAGGCTATAGCATCCGAGGCGGTGGAATTGGGGCCGGAGGGGGGTGTGGTGACATTCTGGACTTCGTGCTCGGCTTGTCGTTTGTTACATCAGTTCGAGAGAAAGTATTTGGGGCATAATTTGATGTGCCCTAGGTGTAAAAAGAGCTTTAAGGCTATGGAGGTCGAGGAGGGAACGGATAACGTGGAAGATGGTGGGATTGGAGAAGGGAAAACGAGGGTGAGCGCTAGGATTCGAGAGAGAGCTACGAAAGGCGAAAACTTGGGGATTGTGGAGAAATGTGGCTTGGGGGTGAAGAGGAAAATCGGTAGTGTGGCGGAAGTTTTGGAGAGGCCGGAGAAGAGAGTGGCGAGAAAGACGGGTGGAGATGGTGGTTTATTGAAGGATTTGAAGTCTAAGAGAGTTGAGAGGGTTGAAAATATTGGTGTAGTGGAGGAAATAAAATCGACGAGAGTTGGAGGGGCAAAAGGGTCAAAGAGTTGTGGGGTTGAGACGGTGGAGAGTGAGAGGAGCAAGAGAGCGAAGGCTAGGGAAGAAGAGACGATGACATTGTCTCAAATGAAGATTTTGGTTAAGAAGAAAAAGAAGAAGCCGTTTGAGGGGAGATTGATGATGAAAGAGAATGAAGTTGATGTTGAGAAGATAAAGGGAAAGGAAAGGGAGGGAGATAATCGGGAGGAAGAGAATGAGAGAGAAGATGACATGGAGAAGGAGGAAGAAGATGAGAGAGAAGAGGAGAGAGAAAATGAAAAGGAGATGGAAGAGGAGGAGGAGGAAGAAAGAGAAGAGGTGACCGATGAGGAAAAAGAAACGATGAACTTGAGGGAATGGAAGAATAGGGCGAGATTGTCGAAGGATAGAAAAGTAAAAGTTGTAGAAAGAACATCAAAGGAAGGTAGTTTAGAGGTATTAATGTCGGAAAAAGAGCAGAGTGAGGATGGACAAGAAAATGAGAGAGAAGTAGTGGTCACGAGGGAGAAGAGGGTAAGGCGCAGAGGTTCAAAGTACGGAAATTCGGAAGCCGTAAAAAAGAAAACATCAAAGACTCGCGTGGAGTCCGAGATTGAGAAGCTTATAACTAAACGAAAGGGCAATGTGGAGATAATGTCGGTCGAAGATTCAGATTTTCACGATTTCGATAGAGATAGAAGGGAGAGAAGCTTCAAGAAAGGGCAAGTGTGGGCGTTATACGACGACAGTGATGGAATGCCGCGGCAGTACGCCCTGATTGATCAAATCGTTTCCATAAATCCATTTGAGGTGAAACTGAGCTGGCTGCAATTTCAAAGCAACGGAGTAAATGAATTAACAAATCGTCGGAGAACGGGTTCTCACGTGTCGTGTGGGAGATTTACGGTTTCTGGGGAAGTTTCGGTTAAATATCTGAATTTATTTTCTCATGCTGTGGATTGTGAAAGGGCGGCGAGAGAGGTGTACAGAATTTATCCGAAGAAAGGCTCTGTTTGGGCACTATATAATAGTGAAAATACGGATAAGCCGTGTTACGACATTGTTATATCGTTGAGCAGTTACAGTGATGTACATGGGGTGAGTGTAGCTTACCTTGAGAAGGTGCCTGGTTTCAGGACGGTTTTTAAGAGAAAGGAAATCGGGGCTAATTTCGTCATTTGTTTAGGAAATAACGATGTGAAACTGTTTTCACATCAGATTCCTGCAAAGAAACTTTCTGGTGAAGAAGGCTTGGGAATTACGAAGGATTGTTGGGAATTGGATCCTGCTTCGATTAATCTTTAATTACTTGTGGGATCGTAGTTTGTTACATATAGGTTTAATTGGAGTGTTATGAATGTTTAATTTGACTTGAGTTCTTACTTTCACTGGGAATAAAACGAAAGTTAGTACAATTAAATTAAGTGTGAATTATGTTCTAAAGTCGAAGGGTGTATGTACATAATGTAGAATCGGGACAAGGAATATATTTGGGTCGATTTTCGTGGAGAAAATATATATTATATATATTTTTTTCTCACGTCCATACTGTTACGTTCTTTTTTTTTTTGTACTTCATTTTTCATTTCCGTTTTCCTATCAAATCCAAGATTCAAACTTGGCGTTTGATCTTGTTCGTCAAAGAAATTGGTCATCCAGGTATCTTTTTTGTGTTGCCTCTATTCATCGAAGGTGTACGCTTTTGAGATCATCAAACGGTTCTTTTGAAGATCAAGGCAATGAAAAGAACTTCAAGAAAGCGATCCAAGTAAGCTTTTTCAGTCTCCGTCGTTTTGTACTCCGACTTTACATTTTTAATATTTAGGTGATCATGTCTAAATGATTGAGTCTGTTCCTAAAATATGCTTATTTGAAAAGATCTTTGCCTGAGTAAAATGGCTGTTCTATACGAAATTCCCGAATATTTTGGTACAGTGAAGAAATCAAGATCACACCGATGGTTCCATGAAAATCGTGAAAGGGGGCTAAAACCCCTCATCCAGCCTAATGTTCGATCGGAGGATGAAGAAAAGTATGATAAGCAAGTGAACCCCCCCCACCCCAAAAAAAATCGAACTCGGAGCACATGCTTAGATTGTTTATTGTTTTTAACTTTTCTAGAGATAATTACATGTTTATGAGTTTTATTGAACATTCTGTATTTTTCACATATGGATTTCGAACGGAGATTTTTTTTTCCGGAATTATGAACGACATCGATAATTTTGAAGTGGCAAATAGTATGTCTTTAATTAAATTATTTTGTATGAATCAACTCCGAGGCACTAAAATTTTTCACCCGATTTTTCATTTTTACGGTATTTCGAAATGGCACGTAATATGTTCGTAATTATGAATGATATCAATAAATTTTTCACTTCGACGCATAATCACTTCTAGATTATTGAGTAAAAAAGTGCGTAATCGTGTAAGGATACGGCATCGAAGAAGAGATTAATTACTAAATAAAGGACTTATAGGATGAAATTATAAAACTTATTAATTAACAAGTAATGAAGATAATTTTCTCTTCTTAGAGCCAATTATAGTCCACTAGTAGCAACTTTTAGCTAAGATTTCATATTTTTTCATATATAAAGTAAAATTTAACATATTGTCACTATATTGTTGTCTTTGTGCAAATTTAGTGTTGTTATAGTACTAATTTATTGTTTCTTTTTTTATGGATTTTTCACTATATTTAATGGGTAGGTCTATTTTACGCTACATTCGGTGAAATTCAGCGAGTTATTTCTATATTTAATTTACACACGATCACGCATGCATGAAATCGATTATTCATTATTTAATTATAATATATTGTTTCTTAGTGCAATTATTGTCTCTTCTTAGAATCAATTATGGTCCATTAGTAATAGCTTTTAGCTAATAATCCCCAATAATATTGTGCAAAAAATGTCCATATATAAAGCAATATTTAATTTACTCTCATGATAATGTTGTTTTTGTGCAAATTTAGTGCAATTATAGTTATAATTGAAAAACTTTGTGGATTTTACACTATATTTAATATTTAGGTCTATTTATACTACACTGAGTGAAGTTCAACGGGCAATTTTCACATTTAATTTACACACATATACATGTAGATGTGTGTAAAATGTAAACGGATGTACACGTGTATGATAGAAGATAACACTATTAAGCTCATCGGGTGTAGCATCGAACAAACTTTTATTCTACCATCTATATCAGACAGTTTCCTATTTCATCCTATTTTTCACAATAATCTCTTGGCTCTCGAACAACGCTGTTAATTTGGAATCTCCGAGAACTTCTCCATGGCTCTCGAACAGCGCTTTCAGTTCGGAGTTAATCTCCAAGGACTTCTTCCATGGCTTTCGAACAACGCTTTTAATTCGGAATTAATCATCGAGGACTTCTCCATGGCTTTCGAACAACGCTTTCAATTTGTAATCTCCGAGGACTTCTCCATGGCTCTCGAACAATGCTTTCAATTCAGAATATATCTTCAAGGACTTCTCCATGGCTCTCGAACAATGCTTTCAATTCGGAATTAATCTTCGAGGACTTCTCCATGGCTCTCGAACACTGCTTTCAATTCGTAATCTCTAAGGACTTTGTCATGGCTCTCGAACAACGCTTTCAATTCAAAATCTCTGAGAACTTATCCATGGCTCTCGAACAATGCTTTCAATTCGGAACCTCCGAGGCCTTCTCCATGGCTCTCGAACAACGCTATCAATTCGGGATTTATCTCCGAGGACTTCTCCATGGATCTCGAACAATACTTTCAATTCATAATCTCCGAGGACTTCTCCATGGCTCTCGAACAATGCTTTCAATTCGGAATATCGGAGGACTTCTCCATGGCTATCGAACAACGCTTTCAATTCAAAATCCCCGAGTACTTGTCCATGGTTCTCGAACAATGCTTTCAATTCGAAATCTCCGAATACTTCTCCATGGCTCTCGAACAATATTAATTGAAGATAAAACCTATTAATTCATAAAACTCATTAGTTTATAGGCAATGAAGATAATTATCCCTTCTTAAAGTCAATTATGGTCCATTAGTAATAGTTTTAACTAATAATCCCAAATAACATTGTGTAAAAAAATCCATAGCTCATTAATGCTAAGATATCATGTTTTTATCATATAAAAAGCAATATTTAATTTACTCTCCCTGTGGTGTTATCTTTGTGCAAATCTTGTGCAGCTACAGTAATAATTGAAAAACTTCATGTATTTCACACTATATTTAATGATTAGGTCTATTTACATTATACTAAGTGAAGTTGAACGAGTTATTTCACATTTAATTTACACACAATCACACATATATACATGCGGATGCATGTAAAATGTGTACGGATATATACACGTGTATGATAGAACAACGCTTTCAATTCGGAATCTCCGAGGACTTCTCCATAGTCCTTGAACAGCGCCTTCAATCCACATGTTGTTTGATAGATGATTTTCTTGATGTATTAATTGAGAATTATCAAGTGCATTAAAAGGAAAAAGCCAAGAGAAAATAAATAAATTTGGAGTATATATAAATAAAAGCTTATGTGATGTGATGTATGTATAGTAAAAATTGGAACCAGCGATGTAACAATAACTGCACAAGGTTTGCACAAATTCATACTTCATACTTCATAGTAGGTAATAAAATAATGAATAATATATTATAATTGCATTAGGAATAATTGATTTCATTAAATTATTTTTTCTAAGCATTTTATTTTTGTTCTTTTGATCATACATAACTATTTGAATTTAGCTTGATCATGTCCAATAGTAGCATCAAAATGTTGAAATATAAAAACGATAATCACACTAAGTATGCACAAATTAAAAGTTTATGCATAAATCTTACGATATATCATATGAGTTGGTGCATAGTCTTCGTTTTTATTTTTGGTAACGAAGAAACCTCGAGTCAACTATATAGATGAATAAATTTATACTCTTGTATAATTGCTTGTTAAGTATACAAGAGACGTAAACTACATTCGGTTAACCATGTGAGACAAGTTCGACCTAACAACCATTAACAAGGAAATGATTCAAACTTAGTCAATTTTACACAAACTCCCATACTCCAATCTTCAATTTTACCAATAGGGTAAATAGGTAGACCTAAATTCACACCCTTTTTTCCACTTTTCTATATGGAATTTTATTTAAACAAAATAAAATAGGACAAATTATAGTCATATCCCTGAGTTATGGTCAAATTACGAAAATCTCCATTTTGTTTGGATAATTACAGCTACCCCTCAACTAGATCTGACCACCGGTTCGGTTAGAACCGGAACCGGAACCGGGGTCAACGGTTTTAGAACCGAACCGGAATCGGTTTGACCGAAATCGGAACCGGAACCAAAATCGAAACCGGCACCGAAACAACCGGTTCGGTTCCGATTCCTCATTTTTGGAACCGGGAACCGACGGCGGTTCTAACCGTTTGAAACCGATTTTTTTTTTAAATATATATATATATATATATATATCTCTCTCTCTATATATATATATATATATATATATATATATATATATATATATATATATATATATATATATATATATATATATATATATATATATATATATATAAAATACAAAAAATATTATTAAGAACCGGACGGTTCTACGGTTCTACCCGGGAACCGGTTAGGAACCAAACCGCAAGGAACTGGATTTTTTCGGTTCGGTTCCGGTTCCTCCAAAATCGGAACCGGAACTGGAACCGAACCCAACCGTGGTCAGGTCTACCCTCAACAATGCATTATTTTACGAAAATACACCAGTAGAGGTAAATTAAGGGATGTTAAATCGGTGAAATGGAACCGAAATTTCGGTATACCAACATTTCATAATGTTTAGTGAACTGAATATATAATTCAATTCGGTAAATAACCGAATTACATAAATTTGATGTAAAACTATTTAAAAGAGGGGTGACCGTAATTACCAAATAAAAGGGTTTTTCATAATTTTATACATACCTCAGTGATGGCCGTAATTTGCCAATAATAAATAAATAAATAAATAAGTAAAGAATCTTTCGTCTTCTGTGAATTTTTCGCGGTTTCTTACCGTCAGAATATTTATTTAATTCGGAATTATTTCAATTTCGGCATCCATCGCCGCTTGTCATCTCTATCAGATAGTTTCCTATTTCATACTTTCTTCACAAATTCTACCAAACGATTCAGCTAAAATTGGAGTACAACAATCACAGCGGAACGTACACAAGTAGCATATACACACAGCAACACCCACATCTATATAACGCGCATCTACACAGATTTTGCATTTCTCCCTCACCATTGTTACAGATTTGTGTAACGCATATACAGAAATTGTTTCTTGGAGTTGTTTTTCGATTCGATCATGGGTTACGAAAACGATCCGTAAGTGCCCCTCTACTATCGAATTGAAAAATTGTAGATTTGGGTAGTTTTAATCGATTGAATTTATATGTTAACATAGAATTAGGGTTTTTTGATACAAAATTGGGGATCTGAATCAGTGATTCGCTTACCTGCCATTAATCGACGTGTTTATGTGTGTGGGTGCGTGAATTGTTGAATTTATATGTTCACATAGAATTAGGGGTTTTTGATACAAAATTGGGGATCTGAATCAGTGAATCGCTTACCTGCAATTAATCGACGTGTTTATGTGTGTGGGTGCGTGAATTTGATTTTCTTTTTAAACTATCGAATTAGGGTTCTAAATCATTGGCCTGGATCTGTTTTCAATCGATGAATTGCTTAAAATGCCATTCATCGATGTGCATATGCCTATGTGTGTGTGTGTGTGTGTGTGTGTGTGTGTGTGTGTGTGTGAATTAAGGTTTTTTTAAATAAAATATGAACATATATAATTAGGGTTCTACATATTGAATTGAGATTTTCTGTGTGGCGAATTCAGTTACCGTGATGAAGACGGTGAGCCATTGATGGATTTTGATGAAGATATCCAATCTGAGCATGATGAAGGCGATGCTCTTCATGATAGGCGCGAGCGATCCCCAACTCCAGTGTATAACGACTCCAAGGCGAAGCCACGAAAGCGATTGATAAAAAAATCTTCTGGCAAAGACTCCGGTCCTGTTGATTTTGGATTGGACGATGATCTGGGTCATGTTGGGAGTGAATATGGTGGGGATGAAGATGTTGGGGGTTTGGTGAGAGGTGATGATTTCGATGATGGGGAGAGGAGGAAGGATAAAGGGGAGAAAAGGAAAGTTATGGAGAAAAAGATGAAGGGGGTCGAGAAAGGGGAGAAAAGGTTTAAAATGAAGAAGAGCGGAGGAGGGAGAATGAGGGGTCATGAGGCAGATCCTGAGATGAAAGAGATGTGGGACACTGTTGCCGGTGGCAATTCCGAGGTTTTGCTTCTTTTTTTCTCTTTTTTCTAGTCAATTCTCTGATTTCCTGCATTTGTTTCTTTCTTTATGAAGTTGTCGTTTTCTGATGCGCATTTAATGAGTGTTTGGTGCTACGTGTTGGGATTATATCGGATTTGGTGAATTTGTGGATTTTTAATGCGTTTGGTCGTACGTGTTGGGATTATATCGGATTCGGTGAATTTGTAGATCTGAATTTATAGCCTTTATAAGTAAGGTGATGAATTTTCGGGAGATTGTTGAAGCGGTGTGGTTTTTGTTTCATTTCTCTCTATATGTGTATTGACTATTGATGGTTGGTTTTGAGTTCTGTATTTCTCTTTGCAAAATCACTTGTGTGCCTTTCAATTTTGTGTCTAAGGATCTAGCGCGTTTTGAGATCAGTCTGGGTTGGTAGACCCGGTGTTCTCATTTTTAGTTTTTTTTTTCAGTGGTAAATTTCCATTAATGTTTTAGCCTTGATAAAGATAATTCATTGATGGGCATGGGCTTCGTGTCGTGAAATGGGGTTTTACTCTTTATTTAAGCAGAAGGCCATCGATATGATGGCATAGTACTTCTTTCTTGATTAAGTCACTTTTTAATGTGATATACATATATGAGTCATCTCATCCTTTTCTTTTTCTTGTTGCTTTTATGTGTTCTGTCCGTTACTAATTTTATTAGTAAAAAGACTTAATAGCGGTACTGAATTTGTATTAACTGCAATCTCTTCAAAATTGTATTGATTGATTTTGTCTCAATATTCTTTAGGACGACCAAGAGGGTCCCAGGACTATGGATGATGATAATTTCATCGATGATACTGGTGTGGATCCTGCTGATGGATATGGAAGTGGCAATGAACATTCCCCCAGCCGAGCTCCCCAGGTTGGAATTATATCTTGTTTGGATTATGCAATAGTTCATTTGTATTAGTAACTTTCATGATTTATATAATAGACTTTAAAAATTGTTACATTTATTTTTCTTCCATACTTATGCATTTGCATTTACTCACGACTGTGAGTGTTAAACAACTACTATGAAAAACCAGCGCCACGTCTGACATGGAAGTTACAGCTTCCCCTTTTGTTCGTTTGCAATTGATTTCTGAAGAAAAAAATATTTTCAATGTTGCTATCTGTAACCATCTTTTATGACGAATCCCCACTGATAGTATTTAATGCTTTCTCTCTCCTGTTCTGCAATTAAATTATTTTTGGCAAAAGTGCGCTAGTGCAACTATCCCGATCCATTGCTGAAAACTTGTGTATATCCCCATAGTCTCTCTCTCTCTCTCTCTCTCTCTCTCTCTCTCTCTCTCTCTCTCTCTCTCTCTCTCTCTCTCTCTCTCTCTCTCTCTCTCTCTCTCTCTACGTGTGTGTTTGTGTGTATATATACTCTCTCAATTTATGATAAACGATTAAGTTATTCAATTCCAATGATTTCCCAATTAACTAATTACCAGTTGAGAAGAAAGGTATTCTTCTATATATTGGCAATAGATTATATAATTTGTTATATGTTCGCTTTAATTCTATTGCTTCTTCAGCGTTATGAATTGAGAGTTCAATTATTGAGGGTTAAGAATTTATGAACCTAATTGGTTTTCTCTTGCCATTTTATGGTTTTAGGCTGAAGAAGGAGAAGAGGATGATGAAATCAATCAGCTCTTCAAGGCCGGGAAGAAAAAGAAGAAACAAGAAAAGAATCCTCAAGAAATTGCATTGCTTGTTGAGAATGTAATGGCTGAGCTTGAAGTGGTTGCAGAAGAAGATGCAGAACTTAACAGACAGGGGAAACCTGCTATAAACAAGTTAAAGAAGCTATCTCTTCTGACAGAAGTTCTCTCAAAGTTAGTCACTTTTCCTTTATTCGTTGGTGTTCTATGCTTCATATGGTTCAGTCTTTTGATTGCTTATGCGTTTGCTTGTTGTGCAGAAAACAACTCCAGCAAGAGTTTCTTGATCATGGAGTTTTGACTCTTTTGAAGAATTGGCTTGAGCCACTGCCTGATGGAAGCTTATCAAATATCAACGTCCGTGCTGCTGTTTTGAGTATCCTCAATGATGTATGGAAATACTTACCCCCCCCCCCCCCCCCCCTATTTTTCTGAAACGTTTTATGAAATTTAACAACTGGGGGGTAAAAAAAGGGTGGGGTACCCGCAGTTTCCTATTGGCTTAAAGCAGCCCGATCGAAAAGAACAACTAAAGAAAAGGGGCCTGGGGAAGGGAAGAGTTGGAATTTCAGAGGATCCTATCTTCAATTTTTTCGCACTTATTATCTATTTTTATAAATAACCGAAGAAAATATTAACGGAAGAAGGGTGAATACATAACAGTTTTCGTCAAGTAATTTTGGTACTAGAATGTAGTATGTAGTAGATTTTATTTTTGCTTTAGCGCTCATCTCTATCTTCTTATTCGCACATTATCACCCCTTTCTCTTTCTCACATGTATATTTCTGATGTTTCACGTTGAATTTTTGTAAAATTCTCATTTTGTATTCGATGTATTTTATACAAAAATGTTATCAGATCTTGTCTTTATTTTGTTGAGTTTATTATTCTATAATATCCTTATTTAGTTTCTCTCCTCGTTTTTTTTTCTGCACTCACGTCAAGTGTGCTTTACCGACTTGTTTGGAGATTAACCTTGATTCTACATCATATTTTGGCAGGTCATTATGTTCTTTTCAAAGTCCGACGAGGAGACTACAGCCAACCGCAAACTTGCTAAAGAGTTGGTGGATAAATGGGTATATATGACCTGCTCAGTTTTTTTTCCCCGGTTTATTGAAGAATTTATTTAACGAAAATATTTCTCTTATTACTGATATTTAAGAAACATGATGTTCTAGTTACTCTGTTTTAACGTTAAAACTTATAGATGCTGAAAGATTCTCTCTAAATAAATCAACGAATTATGCTAAGTATGATTAATGAAAATTTTAAACATCCATTAGAATCTTCATATCATTTTTTTGTTATTAACGGGTTAACTATTCACTTCGACTTTCTGAATGTTATCAATACAGAGCCGGCCGATATTCAATAAGAGCACAAGGTTTGAGGACATGAAGAACTTCGAGGACGAAAGAGCTTACAGAAGGCCTCCTCCTAAAAAGTATCTATAAAATCTTCTTAACGACTAGGCATATACTACATTTGTTTCGATAAATATATCAGCATCACTGAGTCATTATTTTTGTTAATCTTTCTACAGAGCAATGAATAAAGCTACAGGAAGAACATCAAGAGAAGATGACCTTGATTTTTCACAGTAAGATATACTTGCGCCATGCATGTTTGTTCTTTACTTTGCTAAGAACCAAGTTTTTTTTTTCCCTTTTTTTTCTTTCTTTTTTTTTTTCTGAGTTTTAGTTCGTCTGACAATTTGTAGGAGTTCAAAAGCTGGCCAGTCGTCTTCTGGGCAACATGCCTCGAGGCCTGAAGCAATGTCGATGGATTTTATAGTGCGTCCGAAATCCAAAGTTGATCCAGAACAAGTTCGTGCCCACGCTAAACTAATGGTACAAGATCAGCGTAGAGCTAAGGTTGGTACTCTGCCCACTTAAAAAAACAATCTCAGATGGAAACTTAATTTTCTTAAAGATTAGGGATTCTGATGTGGTTATTTTAGCATTGAGAAATCTACTTTGTTTAATAAAATAAAAAATAAAAAAATCAAACCTTTCATATTTTTGTTGTGACTAATTTCATATTGTTTTATGTTTTATAGATGAACAAGAAGTTGCAGCAGCTGAAAGCACCAAAGCGCAAGCAACTGCAGGCAACGAAACTCAGTGTGGAGGGTCGTGGAATGGTCAAATATCTCTAGAAATTTGACGCCGTCACTTTTCCGCATCCAGTGGATTGAAATAAATTAACTTGGGGTATACAATACATTAAATCATCAGGCTGAGTGATGATTACTTGGGATTAAGTTTAAAATGTTGAATTTCGACTTGGCACCTATATATTTCTGTTATTTTTTCATCTTTTTTTTTTTTTTCCTTTTATTATGTTGTGTATAGTAACTGAGTAAACTGTCTGTGTGAGTTGAATTTTCAGTTGAACTAGTTGTTTTGCTTTGGGACAAATAATGTTTTGGCTTTCTTTTATATGGTTTAAATCGAGAATTCGACTAGGGCCGAACTAAGCTAATGATGCAGGGAATCAACAAAATACGCAAAGATTTGCACCAAGATATTAGAGCAAAACTTGTACCGAATTCGAATACGAATGTTGTGACAATTCAATCGTCTTCTTCACAAAATTCTTTTTGTTTTTGCGATTGTTTGCCTTCTAAATGTTTGTGTAAACTAAAATTTTGAAACTTTAAATATAAGTAAAGGGTGTGGTTTTGAAATTTGTGTGCATCACTCCTCGTACTTTCGATAAAAGCACATGAACCCGGTTATGTGCTTATATAAAAGTACAAGGGGTCGTATGATTACATATTGAAAGTATACGGGGCTGATGCGCACAAAGTTCAAACCACGGGGACTGAAAAGGTATTTATTTACCCTAAATTAACTAAGCCCTAATTATCTACTAGTAATAAAACTATACTCGTCGTCTTCATCAAATACTGATACACACACCTCCGATCGAACATCAGTGAAGATGACATACGCCGCCACCACGAAACACACGGTGGAAACAAATCGGAATAGTGCATTGTCTTGCAATCGAAAAACTCCGCCTCCACCACCGCCTCCGCCTCCGCCTCCATCTTCATCTTTACTGGATTCTTCAACCAATTGTACGGCACTCTGCTTATTTACATCAGGACGAGAATACTTTTGGATATTGAAATCACGGCTCCACCGGAGTCGGCTGAACCAGCGGCTGACGCAGCGCATCCTGGCGAAGCCGACGCCGTCGAGCATCCCGACGATGCTCAGCTGCAAATCCTCCGGCAGCGATGTGAACAGGTGGAATCGCGGCAGTCCTTTTAGTTCGCAGTACGAGGGCAAATCGTCCATCAGGGTTTCGTCGTAGGTAATTTGGTAATTTGCGTCGTCGGACGACGAATAATCGCCGCAGCCGTAGAGGAGAGCTGCTTTCTTCGAGGCGTGGAGGCTCAGGATGGCGATTTTCGCTCGACAAGGTTCGATAATAGCCCTAGGGTTTCGGCTGACGGCGGCGTTGGGCGGCGGCGGAGGGAGGCGGGGCATCGAGAACCAGTACTTGGCGTGGGTTAGGGCTTCGACGACGGTGTTCCGATTCAGCGGTGGATGGGCGGAGAGAGGTAGCTCCGTCTTCGGATCGCAGTCCCTTGATATGATGAGGAGCTTGACGGTGGCGTCGTTATATCTCACGGCCGCCGTCGCTGCCATTGCCATGGCCGCCCTAGATTTCTGGTTTCTTTGTAAGTTTCCTTGTAGGTTTTTTTGCCGTTTTGGTTGTGTGTTCATGTCGATTTATATATATATATATATATATATAATTTTTTGTTGCGGGTCCTTATTGACACAAATATTCCATCATTAAAATTTTAAAAATTATACCCCTTAAATAATAAGACCAAATTAGGAAAAAAGTCTCTCATGTTTGGGTAATTACAACCACCCTCTCAACTAGGAATATTCTTACACGTCCACCCTTATGACGTCAGATTGATCTTCTACATTATATTCCGTGCAATGGTCTCTAGTTTTTGCTCGTTTTGTGGAAAAATACACCATAATCTGATATTTACAAGCCAAGAGACACATCTTATGATCATCTTATTTCAAAATGTAAAACTCGAATGAGATAAAATTGATACTAATTGAAGAATATTCTACATAATTTAGAAATTTTTACTAAATTTGACACCATAAATACGAAAATTCATAGTTCAAGGGGTGGTTGTAATTACTCAAACATGAAGCGTTTTTTTCATAATTTGATCGTATCTCAGGATGGCTATAATTTACCCTCAAAATTATGTCAATATTACTTTATAAATACTCCTTGATATTTATTTCAGCTTATACTCGGGGACTTGTAAAATAAAATATAAAATAAACTTCAATATAAGTATTTATAATACCTCAAAGAGGCATTTATATTTCCAAAAACTGAATAGATATTTCTGTAGTTAGACAAAATTTAAATTTAATTCCTAACTAAAAGAAACAACCATATCAAACAAGAAATAAAATATAGAAACCTCAAAAATCAAGAACATAAACAAAACTGCAGAAAGAATCAAACACACAGGCGAAGAAATAAAAATCCAGTATTTATTTATATTGAGATTAGTAAAAGATGAGCTTCATTCATACGAAGGGGCGAGGCATTCGTCAACCATATCAACGAGGTTAGGATTTTCTAAAGCTGCCGCCACACGTTCTTTATCATTTAGCTGCTTATTTACTGCAAACAAATTTAAAACAATTGTTTAAAAAAAACGCAATACAGAACAACCAAGAAAATATCTTCTTCATTTTCCATATATATATAAATACCTGCAGCTTCAGTGGCATGAGTACCAGGGGCTACTCTAATATCAACCTGCGGAAACGACAAATTATTCACTTATTCACAGAAAATAGCAAAGAAACAATATTCCAGAAACTGCATTAGCGGTTAAGACGTAAATTTCATCGGTGATTTACGAGAGACGTACTTTGTAACGAGGTGGCAAAGAGCGCATGAGTTTGACACGTAAGCACAAGCCAATCACTGTTGCCATGCTGCAATGCTCAACCGTCGGAGTGAATGTGACCCTGACGCAGACGATTTTTAGTAAAATGATTAAATTGGACATCCACATAAAAATATTAATATTTACATGGAACGGAGGGTTTTTTTTATCATACCTTACATAACTACGGTTGTCATCTACCTCGACTGCATCTTCTGTAATAACTTTCAGCTCTTCCAAGGAATAAGGGTGCTCTGGATCTTTTATATCTCTAATATGATGTGCCAAAGTTAAAGTAGTACAAATTGTTTCTCTTCGAAAGTACTTTTTGCTGCATAACATTTTATCGGCAGAATTTTCCTCATAAAATCGCCCTTACAAACTAAAATGACCTATTAACTAAGAGACGAGACCTCTTAATGAATTTGAGATTTATCAAAATTGACCCCAAAAAGAAAACGAAAAGAGGCTTCTCTTATAGGAATGTCCATACATATTCTAACACACCAGTCTCAAACAAGTGAACAACTTTCCTCCCTTCGCCAACAAACATGCGAAAATAATTTAACATTGACTAATATAAAAATACCATTATCAATCATCAATATGCAAGGAAATAAGGTCCATATAGAATCCTAAAACGCCACTAAGTTCTGAAAAAAAAAACATGTAAATTCAACATAAACGGACCATAAAGAGAGAGCGTTAAAACGTGTAAAAAGGATATCAAAAATTTCTAGTTGGTCGATCTGTTCGACTGCATATTCGTCAACATCACCTGGCGAACTTCGAGTTCGACGCTCCTTTTTCTCGTAGACAACAGGGTTAGCATTTATTAATCCCGATACCATAGTTGCTATAACCTGAATAACAATAAACCAGTAATATATCCAAAATCAATATATATTACAATGACGAAGTTAGAACAGATACGTTAACCCTCACGTTTGACCCATAAGCCATGAATGCAAAATACAGCCATTATGTGGATTGTTTTCAGTAAAACCCAAAATATTGTCTTTTCATATAATTTATTTTAAAATAAATAATAAAACTAATTAACTGAAACTAAATTCTAAAATACAAGTAACATGAAATAATTAAAAATTCAATGAACACCCTATTTGTTTCTCAATCTGCAGCGCGAACAGCACAGATAAGAACTAAATTAAATAATCCTGAACTAGACATAAATAAACTTTAAAAATGAAACACCCGCTTCACAAGTAATCGGGAAAGAAAATGTTTACCCAGCTCAAAATTGGGGGTCTTTTTCAGAAATGAGGAGGAGGCTCACGGCGGAAGCGGTTCGATCGCAAAGGTGCGGCGGTTATGGTTTGTGCGAAATAGAAATATTATCAAATTAGGGTTTTCAGTGGTGAAGATTGAAGAATTGGGGAAGAAGATGAAAAGAAGAATTAGGATTTGCACGATTGAATGTTTGTCGGAGAAGGGGTCGCAAAACGACGGCGTTTTGAGAGTCAAGTTGGAATAATTGAAGCTGGGCCAGAAATAGGTGGGCCGACGTTTATTTATTTAATTATTTAACTAATTAAAAATAAATAATGGATTCTTCAAATTCGTACCATGGATCTAATAATAAAATTATTTATGCGAGTTTGGTGTTTATTTATTATTTTAATATATTTTAATAATTAATTTCAAAAATATATATATTTGATTTAAGTGTAAAATTGGGATCACTTTAAATATAACATGCTAACCGAATTTTCAGATCATTTGCAATTTTGACTTTTTTGATAAGTCATGTAATTTTCAATGACATATTTTCAGATCATTTGCAATTTTGACTTAGAAGTATATGATTCATGTAATTTAATTTTATCACATTTAGAATCACGTGCTAATCGTGTGCCATAACGTGCAAGTCATGTGCGCATCACGTGCAAATTTCTTAGGAACTGTCTCGAATATGTCATTGATGATCATTAAAATGACAATTTTTAAAACTCACTGATTCCACAACTAATGATATAAGTATAATTTTTATGATGTGATTCATGAAATAAAAAATGTCACCAATTTGCAAGAGTAAATACATGTAATATTTAAACTTTTTTTTTCCAATTTTTGCCTGATAAATTTCGTTGAAATATCGATAAAAAAAAATAATTTAAACATGGATGACATGAAATCTAGAATAAATTTAAGTAGCGATTCCATCATACATAATGGTCATAGTCCTAGCACTTTACCGCTAAAATCTAGAAATATTATCGATCATAATTTAAATATGGAATGACATGTAATCCGGAGTAAATTTAACTAGTGATACTATTAGACATAATGGCCATAGTCCCAGTACTTAATACCTAAAATCTAAGAAATGTCCCTAATCCAGGCAAAAGCTTTATTTTACCACTAACGTCAATTTGCAACGGATATTTGAGAATGTGCCCTTGTAATGGATTGTTGTCTTGTATCGCTTCCAATTATTTTCGGCAACACTATTCACATACTTCACACACTCAAAAATCTTGGGATTGTAGAAGCAATCATCGATTCTCCGCATGTGCTCTGTCCAAAGCGACATTCTATATCCATATACCTGGCCATGTGGAAGTTCTTGTTTTTGGTCCATGTATGACGAGGTTGATAAGGTCCCATGGCAATCTCCGTATCTCTTGAACCTGTCATCGACTGTTGGTCAACATTGGCAGAACCAATAATGATATACTCGCCGTCCACGATCATTCCCTTTGCATGTATATATCATAAATCTTGCATATCTTTCTGTTGAATTCCTGCCACTTTTTATGTTCCAATATTGATGGCTGGAGCCGGGGGCGTGTGCCCGCCTTTGATTTGGAGCTGTGGAAGAACTAATTTTGAAAGAGAAGGACCGTGGCTCATACTAGCATCTTTTGAAAAGCTTGATTAAGATCTAAAGTCACAATCTCAATATGCAAAAATTAAATAAAAAAATGCAAGATTATTCATCGGTTAAATTTAGATATATATTAAATATTTTGATTTTTTTTTTAATCATTTTAGGATAAATGTTTATATATGAACATTTAATTATAATGCACGGGCAATGCACGGGCAAAGCACGGGCAAAGCACCCATGTACCATATTCAGTGTCGTATATACCCCATGTACTATAAAATTTGACATAATGGCCCCTCAACTTAACGGTGAACTCTATACTCTAACACCGTTAATGTATGTCGTGTAGTTTTATTTTTACCCTTACATTTATATGATATAAATAGGCATTCTTTGATTTTATTTCTTGACCAATTTCTTTTACTTTATTACGTAACACTCCGGTGGCATCGACAAATGGTTCTAGAAAAATATGCCTTGTAGTGTTTGGACGTAAAAATGAAATGCATGAATTTTGAGAATTAGAACAATGGGAAGCATTTTTTAGACTGAAAGTTCAAAAAATTCAGAAATCTAAAAAGAATTTAAAAACATTATCCAAAATAAAAGAAACACATAATTTCGGGTGATATTTTTAGGCTATGAACATAATTGCAAACTTTCATAAATTTAAAAGGATATTTTAAATAATTTTCATAATATACTTTTTTTTTTTCCAGAATATTTGAGTGAAATTTTTAGGTTGTGGAAAATAAAATTAAGGAAGAGACATGAAAAAAATTGAGTGTAAATTAAGTATAAGAGAGAAAGAAAGAGGCACACTTTTTAGTTTTTATACAACCATAGGGATATTTTTGTCTGAAATTGTCTCGGTCTACTAAGAAAATTGACGGATTTTTTTAACATAGTTGAATGGCAAGGGCCATTTTGTCGCATTTTATAATACATGGGGTATATGCGAAACTAGTAATAGTACATGGGTCCAATTTGTATTTAACCCTAAATATTGTTGTTTACACAATCAAAAAAGAACCTTCTACAATGATATGATATATGTTTAAGCTCAATATTTTGGGGATACAAATAGAGTGAATTGTATAAAACACCTCCATGTTATTTCAAATTGCTTAAAAACTCCTCGTGTTATTAATAGTAGCAAAAAAATCCCTATGATACATTTCTTTAGCACACAACCCCTAAAAAGTGAGTGTTTTGGGGTTAGTTTGGTAAAAAAAAAAAAAAAAAAAAAAAAAAAACTGAATCGTAAGGGGTGTTTTTGCTAATTAAAATAACACGAGAATTATTTTCAAGAATTAGAGTCAACATAGAGGTGCCAAATGCAATAAACCCGGAAAAAAAATACACAATCTATATGGAAAATTTAATGCCTTCATCGTCAGCAGAAGTCCCTTTGAAGATTGCAAGCTTCCCCTTGTTTTCCAGGTATTTAAGTGCTCGCATTAGAATCGTACGGTCCATTCCGTGCAGCTCTGTTATACGTGAAAATTACATGAGAAAAAAATTAAAAATAAATAATAAAAGTTGTTTCTCCAAATAAAAAAAAGGTCCATTTACCTGTCCCTCGAGACTCGATCCCCGAACGTATTTCCTCAACTGTCATAACACTGTCTTCGAGTCCATTATCCTTAGCCTATTAAAAAAGATCAAGAAAATTCATTCGTAAAGCAAGTGCTCGATACAAATTAACAGCTGTAAAATATATTGCGAAATACTAACAAATCTTATAATCAAGTCGGCCCAATCTTGAATCCGATGCCAAAGGAGTAGACATTTTCTGCGACTTTTATCCGTCCATTCTGCACGACCTGTCGAATTGTAATTCGTCTATTTGAGAAACCAAATGATTGAATAATCAAATATTAACCTCGTTTACCAAACCATGTTCTCACAAATACCACGAAAACAAACCTTCCGAAACTACGGCTGAAAGAAATGCCTCCCTAGCTTCATTACTTAATGATCCTGCAGAATCGTAAATCGAAATCATTATGTCAGCTAGGGGGGCATACGAAAAAACCAGTAGAAACAATTGTTTAACACAACCCTAATTGCAATGTCTCTATGATAACTAAATGAAAACTCGTTAACTTAGAGCAATATCGTAAATTCAAAAAGAGTACCTAATCTTCATTAAGGAGATTATTGTTACATAAAGCAAAAAATTAAGTTACCGTCTCGATGCATTATAGTCATGTAACGTATAAAGACTTCAGTTTAAGGCACAACACGTAAAGCAGACTCACTTATTCAATTTATCTGCCATCAATCGCTGGCAGGTTAACATAAGTAAAAACGTAAATACGTGATTTTCTTTTTCATTATCCACTTTTTTTTTCGTCAATAATTTCTTTCTGATATAACAACAATATGATAAAATAAAAAAATTTAAAAAAATTTAAAAAAAAAAGAGAAACACAAAGAAAACAGTACTACTTACTTTCAATCACGGGATTGCTAAACAAAGGGAAGTCTTCATCGAGTCCAACTACGAAGATTTTTTGCGTCCGACAATAATCAAGTATAAGCTCTTTCCAGAGTTGTATCTGCTTATCTCGAGTGTCTCTTACTGGCTGCAAACTATGGGAATGAAAAAAATTTACATTCAAAATGACTAAAGTTCCTCGATGAATTATTTCATACGAAAATCTAAAATAGGAAATTAGACATGCTCAAGTATTTTTCGAAACAAGTATTCATGCTCGGCGCCAAAAGGATAAGATTTTGGCTGGAGGCTCTCGCATTAGAAATCTATTTGTTCGAGAGGCATCGACAACAATTTTGGGTCCTAAAAAGCACTTGTAGATTCTTACGATGTTTTCTACTCGAGATTAAAAGAAATTTCCGCAACTTCCTAAATAATTCATACATTTTCTTTAGTGGGCATGATGATATATATCTCCAGAATTAGGAGCCAATAGATGGAAAAAAATGATTTCTCGTGGTCATGATGCAAAAAATAATCTAGCATTTGCAGATGTTCTCCTTATGGAAACTTGTAATTGTACAACACTTCTTTACCATAAAATGAAAACACCAACAATAAAATTTCACCATGTATACTTAACTATTAAGTCTGCAGGAAACGAGGACATGTATCACTTAAAGAAACGATTAAATACCGTCATATACAAGTCAAAGAAAATGACATAACTGCATTTGATTCAGCAAACAAATACTAAGAAGGACAATACAGTTGCTAGAGAAAAAACACGAAAACGCAACTAAAATCACGGAAACCTTTGCATTTCATGGTAATAGATCTCAAGAAAATTGATGTGAGGTTGGTATAACAAAACTTATTTAAGCAAAAAAAAAAACATTTTTTATACAAAAATTCAATCAAGTAAACAATTTTCCCTTTTTTGCATATGGGATAATAATTGATTGCATTACTTGATCAAACTCTTGAACCTGAACCATGCGGTGAATCATACATAACATGATGATTAAATAAATAAAAATACTGAAAACAACAAAACCTAGAAATCTGTTCATCACATTCCGCAACCCACATACGCAAAAAAAAAATTAAAAAAAAAAAAAAACGGTGAAAGAGTTGAGAAGAATAATTACGTGAAATACGGAGGGTAATTAAAGAAATTGGGCAGTTTGAATTCACCCAACGTCTGCATATCCGCTCTTCGCCTGCGGATTAAATTGTGAATTCCAATGGAAACCAAAAAAAAGGTGAAAATTAACGGAACAATTTGGTGGGGGATTTGGGTGCGGTTGATCGAACAAGGAAGAAGATCAACGCAGCGAATCTGGGCTTACGGGTACGCCGTTTAGATCGATCGGGTCGGGTCGGGTCGAATCGTTGAAGACTGCCAAGGGTTTGCAGTTTACTTCGTTTGAAGCTGGAGGAGTGTTTCAAACTTCAATAAAAATCTTTGTTTAATTAGTTTCTTTTTTTATATATAATCAAATATTGAATGTTTCTAGTGCAATGATCTGTGAAGTTATATAGCACGGAAACGAAAACGACGATATGGGAAACTCATACGGGAAACGCATATTTAAAAAATGAGTAAAAAATGAGGATATGAGAATTTTGGGGAAATGTGAAATAATAAAAAATACAGAGATATATTTATAAATATTCTATATAAATATATATATATATATATATAAGTTTTAATTTGTATATAAATTCTTTATATATATTTTTACATAAATATATTCAAAATAAATTTGACTATCAGCTATCAATTTGCAATTTGATCATTAAATTATGTAAATAATTTGGGAAACTATAAAAATATTTAAAAATTTGTTATTCAAATTTCAAACATGTTTCTAATTTTTAAAAATTGTAAAATGTCAAATAAAATTTTAACATTACAAGTTATATTTGGACAAAATTGCAAGAATAAAGTGATATTGGGGTTAAATTAATGATATAGGTAAAAAGAAGGGGTTTTCGTCCAACCTAACATTGATTACAAACGGTGGACGAAAATTGTAAAAAAACCGGTTATTTGATGACCATATTCGTGTCAGAAAAAATTTAAGGACCAAAATAGAAAATGATGTATAACATAGGGACCAAAACTGTAATTATTCCTCAAAATTTCATATGAATAGTCACTATACCAATTCCGATCCAACACATTTAAAAAAATGTCAATATTGGCACACAACAAAAACAAATACTATTAAAAACACTTTTTGAATGCTGCACAAAACGGTTGTGAATTGTGATCGTCGCCTTCAATCTCTCACTCCTGCAAATCCTTCATACCTACCCACCAGGTACTCTCTCTCTCTCTCTCTCTCTCTCTCTCTCCCTCTCTCTCTCTCTCTCTCTCCTTTTTTCTGGATTCAGCTGAAGTTGCCAGTAATTGTGGCTAATTTTTGAATTTCTTGTAAAGCTTTAGGTTAATTCCTTTCTCTTAGTAGATGGATTGATTAATTATTTTTTAATTGATTTTAGCTTTTAATTGATATTAGTACACGATTATAGGAGGAAATTAAGTTCATAGGAGAAAATTGAATAAATTAATTAACAAAACTTGTTTTCGTTTCTCAATTCTCAGGTTTAAAATCGACACTTGAAGATCATCATCAGATTTGCAGTTGCTGAAAAATGGCAGTGTTAGTCCGCTTCTTATATACTCGTCCGTTATCGTTTATATATATATATATATATATATATATATATATATATATATATATATATATATATATATATATATATTGCATTATGGTTCTTGGTGATGATGGAGTATATTGATTATGACTTGATTGATGTTTGATAGGGTTGCTTCTGCTCCGGGAAAGGTTTTGATGACCGGGGGATACCTTATTTTGGAGAGGCCTAATGCCGGGATTGTGCTGAGTACGAATGCTCGATTTTACGCAATTGTAAAGCCGCTTTACGAGGAAATTGGACCCGACAGTTGGTCATCGGTATGTGATACTCTGCGAAAGTAATTTTCTTACTTAAGATGAATCGAGAGTTTTCTTCTCTGTCGTCTGCTTTTCCTTGTTAACTTTAATGATTGAATGGCGAAGTGAGATAACAATCTTTTCCATGTTTACTTTCCCCGTTGGTTGATCGTAACTCTTTGACGCGTTGAAGTGTTATTTTTGATAGAATCGTTCATTGCATTTCAGGCATGGACGGATGTGAAACTGACTTCTCCTCAGATGGGAAGAGAAACTGCGTACAAATTGTCGGTCAAGAATCTGGAGCTACAGTCTGTATCCTCGAGGTAAAAACATCATACCATCTGCCTTTTCTTAGTATAACTTAACAAACCGTGCGTATTTTTACGAACAAAATCATCCGATTAAACTGAGTAGTTCTACCAATTTATCATCAAATTTCAGTGATTCAAGGAACCCATTTGTCGAGTATGCATTGCAGTATGCTGTAGCAGCAGCGCATGCCAGATCCGGCAAAACCGAGAACGAGGAGTTAAAGAAACTTCTGTTGCTAGGTAAAGTCCGAT